TTTTGGCTTCTTAATTTTCACAGAGACAAAAAATACTTGGGACTATTAGTAAACACATCTTTTGCCACATAAAAATTATACTATGAAAAAGCATGTTTCTAAAAATACATAAATTTTTATAATTATGTATTCATGAATTTGCTAATCTACTACAGGATGCTGATACATGACAGTTCACAATTGTTTGCTTCCTAGTTTTCACTGGAAAATAAAGGTTACTAATGGTTAAAATTTATAATCAACATATAAAATAAAATACTAGAAACAAGAATGAAAGAAAACAACTTTGTATATAAAGTATGAAAGAAAATGAGATGCATTTTATATGAGGACTATGCAAGAAATATAGGATGTGTTTTTGTTAAAGAAAAAAGAGAGTAATTTTGTACTGTAATTTTGTAAAGTAAAATTACTGGTTATTCCAGAATGAAAAAGAAAAAAGGAATAAGACAAAATCTAAATGGATATAGAAAGTTGCAGAAAGCTTGTTTAGAAATTTTACGCTGCAAGGTCAAAGTTAACTAAAATTAAATGGATTTATTTTTAAGCCTTTTTAAAAATGAGCTCAATAATGTACTGATACAAAACTAGAGTTTAATTTTCTCTTTGTTTCTTAGATTATTGGTCTGCTCTTATTCTGAGATTATAAAAGGTTTTTCTTTACCTTTTGTGTAATCTGCCCAGGAATCAAAGATTCTCTGCCTGAGCAAAACAATTTCCTGTGCTTCATGTTGGTTTTATCAGGTCGTTGATTACTTAGGAAAACTGAATCTTTTCAATATTAAAAGAGCTAAGGTTGTTTTTACAACTATGTAACTTTTTTTCTTTTGCTGAGGAAGATTCCCCCTGAACTAATGTCTGTCACCCATCTTTCCCCTTTTGCTTGAGGAAGATTCGCCCTGAGCTAACACCTGTTGCCAATCTTCCTCTATTTTGTAACTTATTGTAATGTAACTTATTGTATTGTAACTATTTTGTAACCACAACTATGTAACTTTTTATATTTGCTTTTGAAATCTTTTAACTGTCACTTTGGTTGCATAGATAACTGAGTATTGTTTCACAATGACCTGTGACATTTCACAAGGTCACAATGACCTGTGACCTTATTTAATCAAGTGTTTTAAACCCTTTGACATTTTTGAGAAATTTCCCAAAATCTAAGTGAGGTCTCGTTGATCTTGAACTAATTTTGGGATTTTTCAGAGGGCCCCTGGAAGATCTCAAAAGATTTGTTATCTCTCCTTATAAAGAGAGATATTAAACTAATTAGGCTGTTTTGATATGTTGAATTGCAAGGGAAGTATTGTTAAATAAAGGTGATGCTTAACCTCTTTAGGTTGTATTTTTCTGGACATACGTGTTCCAGAATATATAAGTGTTCCAGAAACTGCATGAAATTCCTAGAAATCTGATATGTCCTGGTATTATGTTATCAGTCATAACTCTAGTTATTATCTTAAAAACTGTAGGTCACAGAAATACCCAAATTTACCTGTCAATTAGGTCATTTTTTTCAAAAATGTGAAGATTTATGTATTTATTTTGTGCTGAGCAAGATTCGTCCTGAGCTAACATCTGTGCCAATCTTCCTCTATTTTGTACATGTGGTGCCACCACAGCATGGCTGCTGACAAGTGGTGTAGGTCTGCGCCTGGGAACCAAACCTGGGCTGCCAAAGTGGAGCACACCGAACTTAACCACTAGGCCATGGGGCCGACCTCATGTCATTTTTTAATAGTGAACTTTCATCAGATCTTTAACCATGGCTATTTTTAAGTCTTTTGCCATTCACAGACAGTTATTTTAATTTTAATTCTTCCCTGAAAGCATTTACAATCAACTACAGGCCAAAATGCTTTGTCTTCATGGACATTCATGGAAAGAACCCTGACAAGTACTCTAGAATACAAGTTTCTGATAACTTTAAGATCATACCACTGAACTGGGTAAGAATTTCTAGAACTTTAATGGAGAAACTGATCAAAACTTAAAACTGCTAACCCAAGATCAAGCAAAACAAGGATTAATTTCATGAGATTAAATGAACTGATGAAGATGATGATAATTTTTACGACTTTGTTTGAAACACTGTTGGTTCTTTAATGTTTTGTTTTCTAGGTTTAAAGAACCCTTTTTCTCTTTTCTTTTAAACTATCTATAACTTACAATAATTTGGTGAAGTATACTTTTGAAAACAAAATGAAACATTTATCTTTTTTCCCTATTTGATCTCTACAGAATTTAAAAACTCTTATTGAGTATTCTTATTTTCATGGCAATATAGATATTTGCATAAATTCAATAAGAACCTGTTCTCTTTGTAAGAGGACACAATTGGATGAATCCTTGGACTGGCTTCTTAGCATAAAGAGGCTTTTAAAGATCTAATCTGAGATTCCTTATTACCAGACAGTATTAAGGAACTCAGGTTGACTTTATGGAGCCAATAAAACCCCTTGGACATTACCAAAGCTTTGACTGAAATATCATATCTGAGAATGTGCATAAAATCACTATTCTTGCTGCGCTTATGTAAATAACAAGCCAAGTAATGAAACTAGACTTATTTTACAAACAAATTAATCTTATTGTGATTATCTTTGGTAAAAATGGGGTGACTATAGAGAGAAAAATTATGTTTCAGCAGAAAACTTTGGTGTACCCATTATCAGATTCTAGTCCTGTTCATCGTCTTTGAGGTTTTGTATCTACCTGTAAACTGGACTGGATCCTGAATTCTTCTAGTTTCCTTCAATATCTGGCTACATTTCCAATTTTCTCCCACACTTCTGACTTGGAATAAAAACTAAAACTGCCCTTTTCTCCAAACCCTACAAGCTAAAGCTGTATGTCTTGGTATAAACTTCAGAGAAATCACCACAATAGATCATGTATAGACAACCTTCATACTTACTTCTATGTGGGCCACCAAGAGAGCTTACCAGAACACCTGATGATATCATCAGAGACATTTAAACTGCAAACCAGGAAAATCCATCAGATTGAAATTGCCATCCTCATTCTACCATCTAAAGATTCGAGCTCAAATCCAGAAATGTTTTCAACTGGCTGCTCTCTGGACTCAGAAACTAAGCTTATAATTTGCTCCAACTATTAATCTTTGTCTTTCTTTTGTTTCCTTAGAAATGCCTCATTAAATACGTGATGCTCTCACTATACAGGGGCCTAACTTAGATGGACGCTTACCTATATAACACCGCCTCCTGAAATAGGACATCCTCCTGTTTAACCTGCCCTAAGTAATCGTGACATAGTTCAATACTGTAAGGCCCTAATGCAGTACTGAAAGGCTTATTTCTACCAGGTCCAAAAAGCTTTCTGAGATCTGCTTCCAAAGGAAGACACTGTGTCCCATACATTAGAGCCTAGACACTTTGTTTATTGGAAAAGACACCAACAGAATATGGCACTTAAACCTCATTAGGAGGGATCTTATCCTCTGCAAAATCTCTACAATTACAGCAAGAATCTATAAACTCTTTAGCCGGAGTTATGTCAGACAGTTGCATAGCCTTAGACCCCCTGACCAGCCCACAAAGAGGTGCATGTGCTGTAACTGGTAAATAATGTTGTTTGTATGTTAATAATTTAAGAATTGTTATCCCAAATCTAAAAGATCTTAAAGATCAGATGCCAATCTCTCATCAAATAGGCAATGCTTCTTCCATTAATTTATTTAGTTGATTAAATCTTGGCTCTTGGGGCTCTCTGCTCTGGGGAACTGTTCAATCCTTGGCTATTATTCTCCTCATAGTCATCATGTATCCTCTCACGAGTTTTAAATGCCTTTCAGGGCCACTGACACATCCAATGTTATCACAGCATTAGACAACTTGGAAGAACTCAATGATCCTACCACCCATGTCTAGGATGACTACACAACTGTCGGTAATAGCGATTACATAACCATTTATCCCAATGACTACATCAAAAGTGGTAGTGAGAGTAATACTATAGTGGTTCACATTCTCAGCTTGCTGAGAGAATGACCAAAACAGGAGAATTTTTTAAATAAAATAAAATGGAGACCAGGCCTGAAAACCCCCCAAGCAGGCCAAACCATGTAGGCTACACAAGCGAGACTTAATCTAGTTTACTTCACGAACATAAGCAAAACATGTTATTTCCCGTAAATGCCTCTGATAATCAACTTAAATCGTCTTCCTAAAATAGTGTAAGACAATCACTTTTAACCAATCCTTTGCCAACTGTAAATTCCCACTGTAATAACCATTGTAAAGGTTAAACAACTTCCTCATTCTCACTTTATAAGCCATCCTGTAACTATATGCATCTGAGCTTGTTTCTCCCTCAATAAGATATTCATATCAAGTAAAAGCCTCTGAAATTTCTTTTGATATTAGGCATCCTTCTGAAGACTTTACATATGTTAAATTTATTCCTCACTACAACTCCATGAGCTAGGCACTGTTATTACACTAATTTCATAGATCAAGAGCTCGGGCACAGAGAGAGATTGTTAGTGTCCCGTGGTCACACAGCTGGTGAACGCAGAGCCGGGAGCTGAACCCAGCAATCACAATCAAGATCCGTGCTGCCTCAAGGAATCAATCTTTATCCCAGTTACAGAAACTGGGTGGAACTTCGCTGAAGGCTTTTGAGAGCCTATCCAGTGTGTTTTGTCCTACGAAGGCTTTCTGCTCATGTCAGAAAGAGGCCACTGCCAGGAGCTACCCGGGCGGGCATCGAGCGGTCAAGGCTGACTGCGAGTTCGGACACCCGTCTGGGGGCGCCCAGGGCAGAGGACAGAGGGGCAAGGCCGCCTACCAGCCCACTCGGCACAACCGTTCTCAACGAGGAGACGACAGGTCAGAAACCCAGGAATAGAAACCCCAGCGGGGCCTCTTCAGAGTCTGGGGGTGGAACGGAGCGGGGAGGCAGAGCAGCGCAGGGCCCCGCCGGGCGGAGGAGGTGCTGGGGCGGGGCGAAGGGGAGGCGGGGACGGGTGGACTCACAGATCCAGGAGCTGACTGACTCGCTGCGGGCGAGGCATCGCGGCCGCCCTCGGGAGCCTCTTCCGCGGTCCCTGGGCCGCCCGAAACCAGCCAGAGACCGTCCGTCAACTCCCACCCCCCGCGCGACGCGTAGGCCCCCGTGACGTCACACGGAGTCTTCCGGTGACGGGGGCGCGGCCAAGCTCGGGACTACAGAGGGAAAGAAGAGAGCCCACCCTCGGGGCGGAGCCTCTGGAGGCTGTGCGGAAGGCGCTGGGAGCGATAAAATATAGAGTACCCCTAACTCGGGTGAAGCACGACGGGAGTTGTAGTTCTTCCGCCTCGCGGGCTCCGGCTCGGGGCGGTTTCCCGGGTGTTGCAGCCTAGCGCGCAGCCGAGCCCGGTGCACCTGGAGCCGCGCCTTGCTGAGAGCTCGCTGCTGTTACTGCAGGATTGCGTTTGCTGCTGGGCGATGAATTTGGCGATGCACAGCGAAGACCCCCCTCAGATGCAGACTCCTTACAGATACCGTCTAATGGAGCGTTTTAGAGGATCCGGGAGTGACTGCCGTTTACCGAGCACCTTCTATGAAGCACGCGCTGAGCTACATGCTTTCAATAATTGGCCATATTCATTTAGTCCTGTGAAATAGGAAATATTTAGCTTTGTTTTACAGATGAGGACACTACATGCCAACAAAAAAGTTCAGTAAGAATTTCATCATGGGGGTAGGGGTTTATGTTCAAATCAGAAAGGATTCTAAAGAAGGGGCACCTTTCGCCAGGGGGAATTCTCTCTCCTTGCAGAGTACTTGCTGCGTTTTAGTGCTTTTTTATTCTTCCTTGTAGGTGAATTTGTTGTTTGTATGTCTGTCTTCCCTTCGTAAGCTCTTGAAAATTGGAACCCAGTCTTGTTTATCTCTTCAGGATGCTACTTATTCAATCAGTACGCATTTATCAAGCACTGAAGGAGGGCAGAGATTGTGCTGGGCGCTAAGGATTCAGTGGTGAACACTTGGACCAGACAAGTAAACGGACAATCAGAATAACTTAAATTCTAAAATGGAGATAGTTCCATGGGAGCACCCATGGAGGGGTGATGGGAGCAGATCAGAGAGAAAAGGGTGGTTTGTTAGGGACTGCAAATAGTTCAGGATAGCTACAGTGGAGAGTGGTGAGAAATGAGTGTAGAGCAGAGGTTAGCACACTTTTTCTATAAAGGGCCCAATAGTAAATATTTTAGGTGTTGTGGGCCATACTGGCTGGCTGAGTAGCTACTCAACTTATAACTCAAAAGCAGCCATAGACAGTGTAGATGGGTGGGGCTGTGTTCCAGTAAAACTTTATTTATGGACACTGAAGTTTGAATTTCATATAGTTTTCAGTGTCATGAAATATTTTTCATCTTTTGGTTTTTTTCCAACCATTTAAAAATCTAAAAACCTTAAACTGCAAACTGTACAAAAACAAGCAGTGGGCTGGATTTCGTTGGCTGGTGGTTTGCCCTCTCCTAATCTAGAAAGCTAAAATGGGGCCTGATGGCCTGTGTAGTTAGACAATTTAGGCTTTGTCTGGAGGACTTTGGGAAGAGTCATAAATAGGTTTTGAGCAAGGATAGGATGTGCATAAGAAAGATTTTAACTGAGCAATGGCTCGTTCTGCTTGCCGCAACCTTGAAGCCAATCAATTGCGAGAGGAGTTGGTGGTTGCACAAGGGATCTATTCGATTAGCCAGCAAAATCAGAAGATGGTGGACTCATGTCCCAAAGATCATCTTAAACAAGCACAAAATTTAAGCAGTTGTATAGGGCTGGTGGGCTATGAAGGAAGGGCTCAGGAATGTTGACCATCTGGCATCTACGGCTAGAGACGCCACACCAGGTCTTTCAGTTGTCATTGATGGTGGATGCCAGCATAGATGTTCTTCTCCAAGGAGGTCATCATATTCCTAAGAAACTCAAAAAGAACAAAGTTATCATCTTTAACTACAGGGAGGTACATGTGTCAGCCAGGATTATAAAATCTACAGAGCATGCATATTTCCTCAAGGGTAGCTATTTATCACCTAGGCTATGTGAAAGTTAAAACATATACACCTGGGTGGGTTGGTTAGAGGTTATTCTAAGTTACAGTATGGCATCCCTCATGTCAACCTTGGTTTAGGCCTGTATCAAGAGGAGTTTTAGAAAGAACTCTAGCTGTTAAGTGGTAAATGAATTGTGGAGGTCACAGGTGGAGGCTCAGAGACCAAATAGGAGTCCTTTGATGACTAGCCTAAAAAGTAATAGCAGTGGAATGAACTATTCAAGAGGTAATGGAGGTAGAATTGATAAGATTTAGAGATTGGCGGGGGTAGGGGAAAGTGAAGAGTCAAGGCAAATTTCTAGGCTTTGGGTTTGAAGAATTGAGTGGCATATGGTGGTGGCATTTATTGAGCTGAGAGGAGTAGAGGGATTTTTTGAAGAGGGGGAAATTACTTAAAGTTTGGACATGTGGATTTTGAAGTGCCTATGGAAAATATAGGCTTGGAACTATAGATCTGGAAGTTGTGCTGATTTGCTTTTAAAGAAGAGATTGAATAGCAGTGATAGTGCATGTATTTACTTATGAATACAATAATTTTTTGGAAGACTGCTCTGCTGCTCTGAGAGCCAGTTAGACCTTGGAAGACCATGGAAGACAGAGCAGATTGGGCAGAACTTTTCATGGTTGTTCCTATCTGTCATTCATAGCTGTCCATCTAGGGCCTCTCTTTGATTACTTGATTCTTCAAGGTGAGGAAAATGCAGGGCACTGCCCCAGTCTTATGAGATGTACAGCTTTGGGTGCCTGCATTCTTCTAGATAGTCAAAAAAATTTGTCACAGCTGGTGTTTTTATTTTTAAGAAAGCATGAATTATGTAACAAGGTAAGATAACAAAGTCTTATTTCTAGCCAATTATTTTAAAGGTTAAAGATGTGTAAACCCTCATGATTTCATAATTCTTAGAACTATTCACAATGATTTCCTGCAGGTTTTAGGGCCTGCAGTATCTTCGAACCAGCCTCTCAGATATTTAGCATAACTGTATCAAGAAATTTATTTTGAGTCTCTTGCCACTGAATAAGATAGATCTGATGTACATTGTGGTTGCCTTGACATACTCATTTCATCCCTTCGTTATTTTATAGCAGCTGTATGGTTTGGGGAACTGACCCTATGTTCAGAGGTGGATCTAGATTAAGGCTAAGCAGTGCTCACTGCAGTGGATGATTCAGCGATTAGCAAGCCTAAAGCAATCAAGAAATCATCCATATTCCCTCAGCCAGAGGGATGGGTTCAAGAACGGGCATGTGGGCATGTGACGCATTTGGGGCCAATAAGCAGGAAAAGTTTTGCTGGAGATTTCTGGGAAAGAAGTTTCCTTCAATTTACGACAATGCTTTGTGAAGCAACACTCTTTTCTCAGCCTTGTCATATTGAACGAAGTAAAGCAGAGGAAGAGAGAGTACAAGAATCACAGGAGAACAGCAAGGGTCCTGATTGAACTATTTCTGAGCATCACCCCTCCTCTCTACTGTCAGGTGACAAAAATAAAACAATTTAGCAATGAGTTTGATGTCCTTCATTCAAGTGAACGTAATCCACGGATTGGGGGATGTTTGGGCGAGAGTGAGTTTCATAGTGTCTGAAGGGATGTTTGGGTGAGAGTGAGTTTCAGTGTCTGAAGCAGCAATAAGGAAACAGGCATGATTGGCTAGGAGGTCAGAGATTTCCTTAATAAGGAAAGAGTACTTGGCTTAAGCTGATTGGCTGGGCTCACATATCTGAGAACAAGGGAATCATTACAGATTCTTGGCAGTTGGGGATTGGCTGGCTGGATACACTAAGCTTCTGGTGGAGCAGAGCATTTACAGGAACAGGAGTTACTAAGTTTTGGTTGGCTCACGTGGCATCCTGGGCAGGAACAGCTCCATCTTGGGCCTAGGAATTTATTTCAACACTACTTTCTGTTACATAATTCAGTTAATCTCCTTTGTTGATAAAATCAGTGGAGTTGGATTTGCTCTTTCTTGCTGCCAAAAAATACTAAATTACGTATTCATAGCTGAAGTCACCAGCACATAGTTGGAAATTGAAGGTATAGGAATAGATGAGCTCACCCAACCGTATATGTAGAGTAAAAAGTATGTACATTCCTAGGAGAGAGAGCTGAGAAACAGCAATTGGCTGGCAATTGACACTGAGAAGGAGCAGCCAAAGAGATAGGGAAAAAACATCGGCATGCTACAGAAGATAAACATGATTACAATTGTCACATTCTGCAGAGAGGTCAAGTAAGATAACACTTGAAGGTGATTTAACAACAAGAAGGGCATTGAGGGTCATTGTCTCCACGCAGCCTGATTGTAATGGGAGCAATGAATGGGAAGTGAGGAAATGAACACATAAGTAGCTCAGCTCTCTCTCACAATAAATACTTGTTCAAATGAATTGCTGTTTCTATTTAGGCTCATGCTGAGAAGAAAAGTAGATTGTATAAGGGTATCACTCTACTTCAAAGAAGGTAAATGGGACAATTCAGAACTGCTATTTATGGACCTTCTAGGTGTCAAACATGGTAAACACTTAGATGATCTCACGTGATCATTTAACAAGTCTGAGGTATCACGCTATTTTATAGATGAAGGTGAGAACTTTCTCAAATGAAAAGGTCTGTCAGACTGCAAAGACCATGCTCTTTCTACTCTGTGGGTGATCAGGAGAGAGGTTTATGGTGCTTCCAAGACCAGCAATATAACTTGCAGAGCCCCTTTTTAAAAAGTTATTGAGAATTTCAAGATGGTGATAGCAGAGCATTAAACCAAGGGCGGGGCACTGTGCAACTGCACAAGTGGCCTACACGTGAAGCTGGCCCTGAGTGCGTCCAACCTCAGGACTTCCCAAGAAAATCAATTCTAACTACTGACTATTCAGGAACTTTGTCAAAATAAAATTCAGAGACAAAAGCGAACACAGGGAAACATTTTCCTAGCAGTTCAAGGGAATGAGGCTTTCAGAAGTAGTGGCTCATCAAATAGAAGAGGAATTTATAGCTCAGATGATATGGCAGTTGACAATTCAGATTGGATAAGAACAAAATGT